AAAAAAAAAAAAAAGACTAATAAAGATCCAGCCCTATTGTAATTACTGTCTTGTTTACTAAGCTTCTATTTAAAAAATGATTTTTATTAGTATACATTTGCAGTAAAGAGTGACTACATGCACCATGTGGTACACATACGTAACACATAGTTCTTCTCACATTACTTCCAAACCCGCATCTCTTGCTCAAGTTTCCATTTTTTAAACTTTACTGGGGGCTGGCGAGTAACTCAACAGACTAAAGTGCCTGCTTAGGCAAGCTTAGGCAATTGCAGGGACCATGGTTCGATCCCAGGCACCCCATGCCACACCAGCCCAGTGCCCAGGGCAGGCTGAGCTGGCCAGAGTCCCGGTATAGTGGTGCACGCCTGTAATCCCAACGCTGGGGAGGTGAATGTAGGAGGATCACTACAAGTCGGAGTGCATAATGAGACTCTGTACCAAATATATAAACAAAAAATAATAATAAAATGAGTAAAGGGCTGGAAATGTAGCTCAGTGCAAAGGCCCTGGGTTCAGACCCCTCCAAAAAGAGTCACAAGGCCACACTCTAGAAGAGTCCCTTGTCCAGGGCAGGACTTGAATCAGGCAATAATTTTTTTTTTAATTCCAGAGATCAAACACCAAATTTTCTAAAATTCTACCAAGAGCAATTCCTCCAACTATGGATTCTAGGATTCTTTTGTCATTCTGTAAAGATTTCTTTTCTTTCTTTTTTCTTTCTTTCTTTCTTTCTTTCTTTCTTTCTTTCTTTCTTTTTTCTTTCTTTCTTTCTCTTTTTTTCACTCTGTAAAGATTTCGAGGGTGAGTCTGAGCCCAGCCTTGTGCAGGTACTGGGCAGCAGAGAGGGTCAAGATCCGCTCTCTGGCTGGAGGTGGTAGCGCACACCTGTAATCTCAACACTCAAAAGATTGAGGCAGGATCACTACAAGTTCAAGTCAGCCTGCGCTCCACAGAGGGTTCAAGGCCAGCCTGAACTACAGTGGGACCCTGCCTCAAAAAATAAAACAAAAACAAAAAAAAAAAAGATCAGCTCTCTGCCCTCAGGGAACACCCAGGCTGCGGGAAAAGCTGAGAGGAATCTCGAGAACGTCCTGGAGAGGACAGAGAGGAAAGACAGCAAGGAGGGGGAGAGCGGATGAGCTCAGAGGTTAAACAGGGAAAGACAAGAGGAGACCCTTGGCTCAGTCCCCAACACCACAAAGAAAAAGCAAGACATATAAGCTGTCTGACTCAGCGATTTGTCCCGGGATACATCCTTCCACCTCTGAGTCTTTCCATTGGCAAAAAGGGGCTACTATTCCCCACCTTAAAGTGATTGTTGAAAGACTTAGAAATAATGCAGGTGAAGGATCACAGACTGAAAAAGAGCACTAATCATTTCTTAGGAAGAAAAAGAAAGAAAGGAAAGAAAGAAGGACCCACAAGATTGCTCAGTGGACTAAGGGTCTGCTTTGGCAAGTGCAGGGACCAGGGTTTGATCCGTGGTCCCTAATGCCTCAAAGGAGCTCTAGGGAGGCTAAAAACAGGAGGATTGGGGCCGGGGAGATGGCTCAGTGGAATAAGCGCTTCCCTGGCAAGTGCAAGGGCCTGAGTTCAATCCCCGGTTGCGCCAAAAAATAAATAAATACAAATAAAAACAGGAGGATCACTAGGAGTCTGATCTGCATAGTGAGACCCTGTACCACATACATAGAAGTATATTAAAAGAAAGAGAGGGAGGAGGGGAGTTGGGGAAGGGGTTTCCAAAAGGCAGAAGAACCATAGCTGTTGCAGTCCTCTGGGCTCTTACAAGCAAAGGTTGTTGCCAGGCCTTCATTCCCCGCAAAGCAGGCTACTCGCTGGCATTTTGACTTCTCTAAGTCTTCTTCCACACTGTTTGGGGACCTGTCTTTGTCTTCTGCATTCCATTAGGCCCTGACTGGAGGTTAACCGTCTGGGCCTCTGTATGTCAATCCACTTAAGCTCTGAACTTGTCTATTGTTTTCTATTTTTGTTTTTATTTTTGGCATGAGGGATTGAACCTTGCACGCCAGGCAGGTGTTCACCTCTCGGCCATATCTTGTTTACTTAGATGAACTATCTGCGTCCCACCTGTCTAATTTTCACCTCCTGGCCTTAGATACCAGCTGGCAAGGTCTTGGGAGGCAGCAACTTCGGCCAACTGCCCCTTCCCTGTGCCCACGAAGCCTCCGCTGGGCAGGCCTTTGGAGCGCAGCCGGGAGGCGGCGACAGAACAGGATGTTGGTGAGTGGCACAGTTCACAGACAGAAACTGGGGTCTCAGGAAAAGCTGGCGGTTACGCTCCACCTTTGTTTAACCTCGTTTCTCCCCAGTGTGCGCAATTTGAAAATGCACAAGTGTGGCTGTGGCGAGTCTAAGATCTAAGAGGATCGTAGGGTTCAAGGAAAACGTGGAGCCCTCGGATCTCTAGAATCCCCAGACTCGGCCTCTGCATGCAAGCAAACAACGTGGGCAGGCGCAGGTCTCCCCAGGAGGAGGACGGAGGCGCCCCCAAGAGCCACTCCCTGCGCCCCAAAGAGGCCAGCGGAGGCTGAGACCCCAGGAAGCTCCAGGACTGTCCTGAGCCTCCGCCGAGGCCGCGTCGGCAGGGGCAGAGGGGAAGGGCGGGGAGTGGGGAGACCCGGTCCCGCCCCCGAAGCCGACTTCCTGATCCCCGAAGGCGGCCAGAGGGAGCGGCGGCCGCGGCGGCCTGAGACCCCGGCGCCATGCAGGACGCGCGCAGCGCCATCCTGGACGCGCTGGAGAGCCTGTCGGTCGACGAGCTCAAGAAGTTCAAGCTGAAGCTGATGTGCGTGACCCTTCGCGATGGCTACGGACGCATCCCGCGAGGGACGCTGCTTCCCATGGACGCCGTAGATCTCAGCGACAAGCTCGTGAGCTGCTATCTGGAGGCATACGCCACCGAGCTCACGGCCACCGTGCTCTGCGACATGGGGATGCAGGAGCAGGCCGGGCAGCTGCGAAG